TGATCTCCTCTTGAGTAAACGGATAGATATAGAGCCGAAGTTTTGCGATTGATATTTGTGTTTGAAGAAGATGCGATTTTGGAAGACACAGAGAACCGGTCAAAAGGATCCGAATGACAGACAATTCTAAAAACACACCAAAACATCTCCTTGCAGTTCCTCACCCTGACGGTACTTCCCCAAAAACCATTTCCTTCCCTTACAACTCTCCACAATTTTTTAAATATGCAGACAGTTTTCCCCAAAAAAGATTTTCATTATTTATTTTCATTTTTTTACAAAAACGGTTATTTCGTGTTATTATTTTCTAACATGGGGAGAATTATAGGAAATAGTAATAGGCAACATTTTTTTGATAAAACTATTTTTATGATTATTAAAGATATGTTCTGGAATGTTCCCTACCATTATGGAGCTAAATATCTTTGTCCCTACCAAATATTATTTTGGTAAAAGTATAAAAAATTTTAAAAAAAAAAATAAATTTTTACACTCTTTTTCCATGTTTTAAAAATTAATTTTGATAAAAATCTTTTTAAATTTTAATCTTAAGATAAGAAGAAAAGGGAAAATTCCCAAAGGAAGTAAAACTTTTTTCACAAATAGGTGGGGAAAAACCATTTAAAAAGTCTGATTCCCGGGTTAAAATACGGAGATGAAGGGAAGGGAATTTATTAAATTTCCCTTAGAGTTTTTTTTACTTCTTTAAAAATTTCCAAAGTTTAAAAATCGACTTTTTTAAACAAATAATAGTTTAAGAAAACGATGCAACCCCAAAAAGACACGAAAAAAAAAACAATTTAAAAGGTCAGATTTTTAGGGGAGACTTTTTTCCCAAAACCAAAAATTTGAAAACTTTTATTTTGGGTTTTCGATTTCCGTAGAACTTATCAACTTATCTCTGAATCTGATTTGACATGCAGTTGACATAGTTTGTCATGTGACTACTGAAAGTAATTAATCTTAATTCTTAAGATATTTTCGTCATCGATAAATTAAACTTATTTAAATAATCATCAATTTATACGCTATCAACTGATCTTTGTTATATAATTTAGAACAATTCGAAGTCTACAAAACTAAAGGGAAGGGTAAGGTGGAACAGTCACCGTCTACAATAGGAACAAAAAGGAAAGTGGAACAAAGCAAACAGGATAAGAAGGTGACACCAATAAATAAGAAAACAGGAAAAAGTGTTGAAAGGAAATCTGATTTGCCAGTTGAAAAGAAGGCTAGTGTAGAAAAAAGACCAAGTCTTAAAAGGAAAGTTACCGGAGCAGGAATGTTCTCATTTTCGTGGACAAGAGGTGCACAGAAGGATACAGAGCAAAGTACAGAAATGGATATCCAGTAAGTAACTTTATTAACTCATATGTTTGATAGTTAATTGTGAATGAGTTATATCCTCGTTTAAATATACTCCTATTTATATGTTACTCTTTGATAAACAGAAAAATCTGATTGTATTTTTAGCATTTTAAGCTGAGGGCCTTGTATTATTAATCAACACATTGTCATTGTCAAATTAATCAAAAAAAGTTTTGTCCTTTTCCTTGAGTTTTTTTAACTGTGAATATAACTAAGACCAGCACACTCAGACAATTAGTATTTCATTTGATTAATTGTCACAAATTATCATTTTAACTGTGATGAATCGCTATGTGGTGAATCATTAGTAATTTATTTTGACAGTTCTGTATTTTAAAGTGTATATTTATTCATTATTATTACAATTCAGGACAAAGAAGATGACCCTGGACTGATGACAACTATAGATTCTACATGAACCTAAATCCCCCTCAAAACCTGATGGTATATTTTTAAAATTATAATACCTTTCAAGATGTATGTTCTATAATAATGGATTTAATTTTTGTTTTTTTGTTGTTTTTTTAAGGAAATTTGGATATTTGGGACTATAGTATCAAATGTGATTTGTTAAAAGCTTTGTGACAAAATTAAAATTGCATGGCTGTATTTTTTCTATATGTTTGCTTGAAATACTGAAAATCTTTACATGCATATATATTTTTTAAATTTATGGGATCAATTCTTATCTATCTCCCAAATCTTTTCTGTTGTCCATCAAAAAATTTTTGGGCGGCTTTTGGGCCCTTGAAAAAAGGTCCCAAAGGGCGCTAAGTTATCAGTACTTAGTGTTTGGGGATTTTTAAAACGATTCCTTTTAAAATTAATTTTTTGGCCTGATTTTTGGCCAGGGAAGAATTAAAAAAAATAGGGCCTTTTAAAATAAATTTTTGGGTTCTTGCCCCTCGCATTTACTACCAAATTAAATTTGCCATCATGAACAAACACATGTTTTTAACGTTTTGCTCTTGTTAATTTGTTTTTCGGGGACTATTTAAAATGTTTCATGTAATTTGGTGGGAAAAACTAAAAAATTTTCTAAGGTTCCCCAGGTTTACTTTAACAGGGGTTATTTAAAAGATATTATTTTTGCACAAACCCCAAATTTGACTTCACTTTTTTTCCCTTTTTAAAAAAAAATTTCCCATGAAGTGCTAAATTTTAAATTTTTTTTGTTAAAATTAAAAATATGTTAAATGAAACTTTTTCAACCCTAAACATTTCATTGGAATTTTTAAAAATAACAAAAAAATTTATTTTTCTTTCATATTGCTTTGGTAACTAAAAAAAAGTTGTAGAAAAAAAGGGAAAGGGTCTGTTCAAAAAATAAATTATATAATTTACTTGATTTTGTGATTTTTTAATTTTAAAATTTAAAAATTTTTAAAACAGTAAAAGAACCGTGTCGGGGTTGCATGATTTTTGTGAGGGGCCCCTTTTTAAAATACTGGAAGACAAAGGCTTTTTTTTAGGGTTTTAAAACCTTTAAGTATGGTTTTAATGGTTAATTGAATATGTATAAAAACTATCCCAAACTATGATTAAGTGGCTTTCACAGACCATTTACACAATATTTCTTTATGGTTGCATAAAACTATGCTGCTTATCAACCTAAAACATATAGTTAAATGTTTTGTCAGTTTTATTTCCTTGAATTTTCATTTTACTTTGTTACAGAAATGTAATTCTTAATACGATCTGAAGTAGTTATCTAAGTGAGATTTAAGTGCTGCAGTAGCAACTGTATTCATACATGTATGTACCAAATCACTATTTTACAGTATAACATTTTAATTATCAATGTGTTACAGGCTTTTCCCAATCAGAGAGTCCGGTTTGAATTGGCACGCCCAGGAACTGCAGCTGCATGAAATAAAGGTAACTTTATGTACTTGTATGCATCTTAATACCAGGAATATAAAGAGGAGAGAGGTCTAAATGCCAATACCAATTGCTAACAATGTACATGTACTGCCCTTGGTTTTCAAGTTTTTTTATTTCCCTTTTTAAGCTGAAATTTATTGTGGTTTGTCAACTCAGCTATGTAAGTTAAATATTGATCTATAAGCTTGAATTTTATGAATGGTGCAAAAGGTTCATTATTACATTTTTTACCATAATTTTATGCCCAGGTATAGTCAAACTTTTTTCTAGCCAATATTTTGTCCGCTTACATCTCTGTGAGTATCTGTCTCAAATTCCCAGTAATTTATTAAACTACAATATGTCTCTCATAATAGACTGTTTTTATCAAAGCAAAATGTTTTTATCTTAAACTTTCTCAAAGCAAGATCTGGTATGATAAGTTACAAAGGTAAAGTATGTTACAAAAGTTCTACAGTATTTTGAAACTGTTATTTTCAAAGTCTATTAAAAGAGTGAAGTAGGTTACTAATTGATTTCTCTTTGAACAAACAAATAAGAGTAAAAATATATATAATAGGTCCATTAATTATACAAGCAAACCACCTTTGATTGTCCTAGTTTGATGACTGTCTTGCTGTTTTGGATAGAGACCCTAGGCTAAAAAATTACAGTGTCTAGAAGTAATTAGATTTGTATTTATTATTATGTATTCAGAAAATCCAGAAGAATAAGAAAGCAATGAAGAGGATTTTGACATCTTACAAAATGATGCTAGATTTCTATGGAATGGAGTTGGAGAATGAGGATGATGGTACAATTGTTAGGGCAGATAACTGGAGGGACAGATTTAGACAACTCAACAGGTTAGTTCTCGGACAATATCCAAGCATCTTTTGAATGTATAAAAAAGTTTATTCCTGACAGATTAAGGTAACAAATACTGACTTTGCAAATGTTGTGTACATTTTTTCAGTCTGTACATAAGGATGCCACAGAGGCTCAAAATAGACTAGGTAAATGTTAGTTAAATGTAAATATTTCCTAATAAAGTACATTACAACAAAAGTCTTTCTCACCGTAAACTGCAATTGCTAGAGCTATGAAATTTAATATGAAACATCATTTATTTAATTGGATCTCTACCATGGTTATTCAGATTATTGTCCTGGGGTCAAAATTGGACCTATCTGGGGTGAGGGACCTTGTGCACCAAAGTTATTCAAATTATGACTCTTTAGTTATTTGAAATTATGAATATATAGTAAAATGTTACTAAAAACTAAAAAATCTTCTCTGAAACTTCACTTGCTTTAGCCAAGTTTGGCATAAGCTATTGTCTAATGGCCCTTGAGGTAAACTGACACTCTCTAGGGTAATGTGGTTTCCTTATGTAACTTTTATATTAAAAATGATTCCTAGGTTACGGTACCAATGTAAGCAAGATTATTGGATAAGGTCATGTTTCTCTGTATAGTTAGTAAATTTTCTTATAAACTCTGGTGAGGGACAAAGGTAAGGTCCATCATGGCCCTTTTGTTTTGAATAAGTAATCTAGCTAGTCCATGCAAGGTCCATTACTTACAGTACATTGTATATGGTTTAATCTAGTATGACCAAATACATTTAATAACCAATTTAATAACCAATTTACCCTTGGATGGTTTGTTCTTCGTTTGAAATTTTATAAATATTGGATCATCTTTTAGCCAAAGATTTAGTAGTGACTATATAATGGTATATAATCACACATAATCACTATTTTACAGGTCATTCCACAACTATTTGAGGATAACAAGAATACTGAAATGTCTAGGAGAATTTGGATATGAACATCTAAAGAAAAACTTTGTAAAGTTCATATTGCATGAAGGAATGGTTGAAGGTACCTTATCTAACGTCATTGACAGTTGTGTCAAGTATTGGATTGGCGTTTTGAAAGATGATGAGGAAAGGGAAGAAATATTTGACTATTATGAAAAACTGTTGCAAGATGAAAATCTTCAAACAAAAAGGAGAAATAGATCACCTTCTCCTCCAAGTAGCTATTGGTCAGACAAGATTGAAGATTCAAAGTCTGATAAAAAGTCATTATCCAAAAATGGAAAAGATAAAAAAGCTGATAATGTGAAAGACAAAAAAGATGAAGTCGATGGAGATAATAAAAATGAAATTTCTGATGATGGCGAGGATGGAACTCTATATTATGCTATGAGTTTGATTGATGAGGATCTTCCAAAAGGAAAGTCAAGAAAGGATCATGAAATGTCTGATTCAGGGCCTGAAAATGATGACCACCCAGAAGAAAGCCAAGAGATGGCACATTTGAAAGAAGAAGCAAAGACATCCAAGAACGATGAATTGGAAGGAGGCAGTGAGTGTGATGACAGTGTACCTGGAAAAATGACCACTGGAAAAATTAATTCGGTTAATGAAACTGAAGAAGAAGGTCCCAAAGAAATTGTTGAGCAAAATTCAGGAGACAAAACAGAGTCTGATGGCAAGTCTTCTACTATAAATGGAGAAATAAAGGAAATAGAGGAGATAGATCCAGTTGGCAGTGAAAATGAAAACAAAGGTAATGACAAAAAAGATGTTGTTGGTAATTCAGAAGATGAAAGGACTGATCCTAATAAAGAAAAACATTTTGAAAAAAGTGCTTTAAAAACTTCAGATGAAAATGTTGACCTTTTACAGTCTAATCATGAAAAGATGGAAACAACAGACACAGAAAATGGTACTCATTCTGATTCAGAACTTGCTGCCAAAGGTAATAAGATAAATCTAGAAGAAAAAAGTATAGAATCTACAGAGAGTAATAGCAACAAAATTAGCAGTGAAGTTGAAAATAAAGAAGAAGAATTGATGGAAACAGAAACAGGAAATTAAAAAAATATATTAATATAACATGATTACAATACATTTCAAGTGCACTGAGACAATGACATGTTTAGTTTCAACCATTTTCACAATGCTGTTTTTATTTGTTTGGGTCGTCAGACCAAACAAATAATGGTAGCGAAATTTCAGAGTCGAATGCTGTTAATTGCAAATGCCTAAAGTAGTCCACTTTTTGAAGCGGTTACTTCCCTTTATATGTACACTAATGCCGAAAAATTCAGGGGAGATCAATGCGTAAAGATTGTCAAATGACAGGCGCATTAATTTTCAAGCAAAGTAGTTCCCGAATGGTCGAAGATTTCTAATATTGTTTCATTCTTTATAGATATACATGCTTAAAGTAAGCTCCATGATTATTTACATCTGTGTTAAACAACAGGTTTAGCGTCAAAATAATAAGAGTTACAAACCCTTATTAAGAATAATATGGTTTTCTTCAGGCCTATAACATATATATCCACTGTGGCCGAAGGGTTTGCACGCTCGCTTCGAGAGGTCTAGAGTTCAAATCCCAGTTGAGGCAACTCATTTTTTTAAAAAATGTTTTAAGTCAAATAAACATTGAATTGACTATCAGTGTTGCAATTAGTCTTATAGCCAATTTACTACAGTTATAACACTGGAAAGCATTGGTGGCACTTTACAAAAACAAATTGGTTTATAATCTCACAACCTTCACCTTTCTGACATTCTGAGACCCAAACAAATTCAGCGCCATCTGTGCTTTGATTTTTCTTTTTGATAAGTTTGATCATTATTGAATCATTGAGAGAAAAAAGACATTGTGAGATAGGAATAACTACTGCATTAAATTTGTAACTTTCCGTTATTTATGTAATAGATTTTTCCTTCTTTTAATTTGAAATTTTCCTTTGTGAGTTGTTTGGATTGCAATATAAAAGTACGGATTTGCCAGGTTGATAGAGAAACTTGACTTAAAAGAGGTGAAAGCTAAGTCTTGCTTAATACTGATGGCAGAAGACATGTTAACTTGTTAATGAACTGAAAGATAATGATTTTGCATCTATTATTAGACAAAATTTGATTGGTTGCAAATAAGGTGCTGGTACCTTAATTGTGTGCAAGTCTTTTTAGCTGAAGAGCCAAACAGTGTGTTTCTCCAGTATGTGTGGTACACAAAGTTAAGGTTATGTTCTATCCTATATACCCCTGAATATACTAGTATTCACACAAAAAATATATAAATAAAACTGTAACTGTTGGCCCCTGCTCATGACAGATAACTTTTGCGTTGATTTTGACTATCCGAGACTAACCTCAACTCAAATATATTATTGATTTTTTGTTTTATCCAGAATTTTTTTTTTGATGAAAAATCTTGAACTGTTGCATTTTTGATAACTTAGTATCAAGAGTGTTCATGTACTTGGATTCATCATTAAATTAGATTGTCATATTTGTGATAGTTCATTCATGCCAATGATATTTACAGAAATATTTGTATAGATGATAAATGAATTAAAGACATAGTATTTTATTGTGTAAAGTCTGCATTTTCCCTCTGTCCAAACTTACATTTTGATACTTTTGTGGCTAGGGGAATGTATTTTTAGAATGTCAATACGTCTGTCTGTCACACTCTTGTCCGGAGAATAACTTAAAAAGTATGGAAGGAATATTCCGTAAACTTCACACACTGATAAAGACCATTAAACGGAAGTGCAGTGTCAAAAAAATGATAACTTTATCTCCCTTTAGTTAAATGGTATGATATACTAGTATCAACAATATCTCGAATAATAATATCTTCAGACTACAGACTTGTAAAGACTAATTGTCAAAGAACCATAATGCTACAATTGTTTAGTTTTTGAATTATCTCCGTTTATGATACTTAAAAAGGCAAATGCTTGTCCGGAGTAAAACACCTAAACTATCATCAATATCTCATTGAAACTAAACACAGTTGTAAAGACTAGAAAGAGGAAGTCTAGTGTCAAAAAAGCTTAGTTTTTAGCTCGACTTTTCGATAAGAATAAGTAGAGCTATTGTAGTCACACGAGCGTCGGCGTCGGCGTAACCACTTATTTTAAAGTTTTTGTAATACCTCAAATATTTTTAAAGTCCATTGACATATGGCTTTGAAACTTTGCACACTTGTTCACCATCATGACCATAATCTGTAGACAGGAGGAGATAACTGTATCAAGCATTTTGACAGAATTATGCCCCCTTTTAACTCGACTATTCGATAAGAATAAGTAGAGCTATTGTAGACACCCCGAGCGTTGGCATTGGCGTCCGCGTCGGCGTAACCACTTATGTTAAAGTTTTTGTAATACCTCAAATATTTTCAAAGTCCATTGACATATGGCTTTGAAACTTTGCACATTTGTTCACCATCATGACCCCAACCTGTAGACAGGAGGAGGTAACTGTATCAAGCATTTTGACAGAATTATGCCCCTTTATCGACTTAGAATTTACGTTAAAGTTTTTGTAATACCTCAAATATTTTCAAAGTCCATTGACATGTGGCTTTGAAACTTTGCACATTTGTTCACCATCATGACACCAATCTGTAGACAGGAGGAGGTAACTGTATCAAGCATTTTGACAGAATTATGCCCCTTTTTCGACTTAGAGTTTACGTTAAAGTTTGCATACCACCTCAGATTTTTTCATATACTATTGACATCTGGCTTTGAAACAAGTTGAAATTTTATACTCTTCTTTGGGAGCATAATAGGATTATTTTCAAGGCCTATAACAGTAACATGGATTTTAAAGGAAAATTTGGCCCTTTTGTTATTACTTTTAGAAAATTTACATTATCAAGGCTCTTTTAGTAACAAGCACTAAGAATAGTCGAGCCATGCTGTCCTACCGACAGCTCTTGTTGAATTATCTCCCTGTATAATACTTGATGTTTGTCCCTAAAAAGTACTGAAGTAATCTGAAAAGAACTTCAAATAGTGATAGATATCAGTGAAAGAGTGCAATGTCAAAGAACAAAATAAAATTTCAATAATTCTTGTCATGAGTGTAGTTGTAAATGATATCTCATTGGAACTTTACACAGTTACAGCAACAAGTCAGAAGAAATGCAGTGTCAAAGAACAATATCTCCCTTTATGGAACATAATAATAAATATATTGACGCAGAGAGAAGATCTAAACTGCTACCTATTATCTCCCTTTATAATTCCAAATGTTTGTTAGACATTTGGTTAAGATTTAGAGCCTGTTTCTTGGTTTATAATGATAAAGAATAATATTTCATAGTAATGGCTTTCAAAGATGTTTATTTCCAATATGTTACTTCAAATAACAAAACAACGTCAGTCAGCTACAAGTAATCCATATTAATATCATGCTAATATCTGTTTAAGTTAGTAATACACGTACTCCATTTTTCTCATGAAATACACGACTTAATAACACAGAGTTGTTTGAGTGCATTTGCTACATTGATAAAAATACTGAGAAGTGACCAACACTTTCGTAAAGTTTTTTTTGACTCTAGGTTAAATATTTTTGGGGCTATGCGCGACACAATGAAAAAAAAATGCAAATTTTACTAAGTCAAGGGAAATAACTCTACAAATACTGATAATGCACTTACAAACCCACAGATGCACAAATTCACATGCTCACCAACATTTTCTCTTTAGGTCAAATACTTTTAGGGCTAGGCACGACACAAGTTAATTTAACTAAGTCAAGGGCAATTACTCTACAAATACTGAATAAATCCACGAGCAAACCCCCAGGTGCACAACTAAACATGCTGAACAACATTTCTGTAAAGTTTCATGACTAGGTCAAATCTATTTCGGGCTACACTCGACACAAGTTGAAAATTGCCAAATTTTTATTTAATCATGGGCAATAACTCTTCAAATACTGAATAAATGCAAACCCCAGGTGCTTAACTACATGTGCTGATCAACATTCCTGTATTTAAAGTTTCATGACTAGGTGAAATACTCTTTGAGCTACGCACAACACAATTTGAAAATTACAATATTTAACTTAAGCAGCAGCAAATACTGGACAAACTGAATTAATCCAGTCATGCGAAACCCCATGTGCACAACTTCACATGCTGGTCAACAAGCACTTTTAGAGCTACACGCAGCACGACGTGAGAATGCAAGTATGCACGGACGGACAGACAAAGGCCAATCTTAATGTCCCCTCTAAAGTGGGGGCACAACAAACCAAAAAAGAATTATATGGATGTTGTTGGTACATGATCCGATATTACATATCCAGCAGAAAATGTGTTCGTGTCAGACTATATTAAGGACCTTTCATCGGCTACTGGTGCAGTGAGAGAAACTGTTTCCGGCTAAACAGTTACACCGAGTCCAATCGTTCACTATGTTTCCCAGGCGGAGAACGCATGAAGAGATCAATTTTACAGGTGGAAAACCGATAATGTGGTAAGAAAATTGTCTTCAATTTCTTTGAAAATGCATATTTCACAAAACTTTATAGCCTATTCTGATCTCGTATGATTAATTTATCCGACAGGCATCTCAAACTCGCCAAATCTTTGTTAACTTATTAGATCATTATCGACAACTGCACAAGAAAAGTCACAAAATTGGTAAAATCGCTCTTTGATAGCCAATAACTTGACATCCAAGCAAACTTCTAAACATTTGTATCGCTCTAAAGGTTCTTTATTAACATATCCTCATCCACCAAAAGCCTGTTCTTTTTCTATTCCGTATTTTTGGAGCACAATATTGTTTAAGCGAATTTTCAAAATGAACTCATGAGCCGAACTTTTCATCAGATTGCAAAATGAACGCATGAGCAGGCGGAATTTTTGGATACTCCAGTTTTCATGGATATCTCACATGTTATCGATCACAGAACCTTTAAATTCCAAAATTTTCGCTTCAAATGTTTGAGCAAACAGAAGTCCCTATTTTCATACATTATGACGAATTGCTTATAAGCAATAGATGAAGGTCTGTTCGATTCTGTGAAAATATAATAAATCCTGATTGCTAAAACTTTGAGTAAAATATTTGCCAAAATACAAACATCATCGGTTGATGGGACTTAAATTTCCTGTATGTTATAATTAAAGATGTAACATACACTTAAAGATCCTGTGACTCAAATTTTATGTTCTTATATGAAAAATTCTTTGGCTTAAATAAAGAATTAACAATGTTAAAAGTTACAGAAACCCTTTTTGACAAGGATATTGCCAAAAATTTAAAATTTCCGATAATAAAAGGAGATAATTAGAAATCTGTTTTTGGTAAAAAAAATCAGTTTTGCATTCAAATAAAAATTTCACAACCTATTTTCCTCAAGAAATATCATATAATGTGTTTAATAATGTCAACTTCTTAAGTATATGTTTTTCATAAGAACTGACTTTATATTTCGCAAGGATGTTACATCCTTAATTATAACATACAGGATCTTTAAGCAAGAATATATATATCACCTTCCTTACAACAAAATGAACATACAAGAAAATGTTGAAATAACACATATTTTTTAGGTTCATTATAAGTTTTTCTTTTAGAAATAATACACTTTCTATTTTAATGAAGAATATGAAAAGTATTTATCAAAATGTGTTTCTAATTACCTCCCTTTATTTACAGAACTTGTTAAATTCGATAATATCTATGTAAGATTTGTAATATTGGTAATTCTTTATTTGAGTATCAGGTTTATCATATTAGACTATTAAAGTTTCGAGGTCTAGGGACTTTAAAAGAATATACATACGCTATTTTTGTCATTTGTCCTTCTTTGTATTTGTTGTTTAATATTATGCATGTATGATAGTAATTGTATACAATTATTCATGATTCATGATTTAGTTATCAAAGTACATATTTTGTAAAACAATCATTTACAATGCGTGCAAAAATCAAGGACTATTCCAAAGTGTCGTGTAAGATTATTATGTAAATCAGCTTAATGTCGTCAGTTGTTGATTTTATTCAAAATGACAAGACTTAGTTATCTCTCCGTTTTATGTATTAAACAAAATTCATTTGTTTAAGTTATTCAAAAAGAGGTTGTTCCTCCACGGGTATTATGGCGTCGTATTCTTCCATATTCTGTAATATTGATAAAAATACACTTCATTCTAAGTGATAATTTTTGTGTTCTTAGGTGAAATGGATCAGCTCTCTTCTACGCAATTTTTTTATTTGTTTAACAAGTACAACAGCAATTCCGTATATATATGTATACAAGACAATTTGCACAGTGCAATTATTATTTTTTACCAAATCATAAGCATGTCGACATGCTACATAAATTTCGCATTAAAATGGCTTTAATTTGGTTATTAATTATTTGAACCTTTACCAATTGCTTTGCATTGGACGGCATATAGCACCATACTCTACCAAGATTTACTGGGCTTACATAAACATATTCTATAAACTTGTAATTCGTCGTTTAAAAAGGAAATTTATATCGAATGTTGAATATTTAAACGTGATTCGTGTATAATATATTTTCATATGCTCATACTATAAAAACA